CTACCAATCACGCTATCGGTAAAGGTGGTGATACACTGCAGCTGTTTTATTATTATTTTTAATTTATTAGCATATGAGCTATATTTTGTTATTAATTGAATGGTTAACAATGTTTTACATTACATAAAGATTGAATTTACACTAAAAAGATGAGCAAATTTTGTGCTTTTTATTACAGTATTTATCTTTTACATTTCTACTTCTCCTTGGACAGACGGCGGCCTCTGATTTGACCGTAAATACTAAAGTGTGTTACAAGCATTACATCAAATCATTTGTATTCGATAATACGTTTACAAAACTTTAAACTGCTAACATAAAAAAACTTTTTCCATTCATCGACCTACTTTATACCGTTAACTTTCGAACTTAAATATATTTTAGTCTGTATTTTAAATTCATTTCATAAACTCAGTACCAGTTTAGTGTTACTAAATCCCTGGGCAGAATTATATCACCCCTTTAGGACCTGCTTTGACTAATTCTTAGATTTTGACGCCCCTTTCTGTCCAGCGCCCTGGGCGCCCAACGTCGCCTATAACTCTTTGCGCAAACTTTTATTCAAACAATAAAGCAAAGTTTATCAGTGAAGGTCCCACATACGTTAGATTGTATGCATATCGTTAGGAAGTGGCTCTGTCCGTGTACGTAATATTTCATACAGTAATTATGCTTGTTTCCCTTCGCATTGCATGTAGCTTTCATGATAAGATTTGTCTACGCAACCTTCGTGTAGTACTAGCATAGATTGAAGATTACAGAGGCTGAACGTGAAAGAACGTTTTCTATACTATTATAATAAAGCGTAAACACACACTTCTTTGTTGCCAAAGATGTCAGCAACTGCAGCATATTTTTGAATAATTCTTTTTTTTGTAAAAAGTCCTACACTTGCGTCACGGTTTAGGCTATATATTTTAACACCATTAAACTTAGGGGGTAAATATTTTGGATAAAAACCCTAATGTGGGAAAGAGACCATAAGTTGCTGCCAACATCAAGGAAGCAAGGTTGTCATCATGTTATGTCATTTTGACATTTGTAATTGATAATTTGACAAATGTACACAATAAAATAAAATTTTCACAATTTCATGCGGATGAAGTCGCATGGGAACAGCTAGTGTTTTAATACAGTGATTTTATTTTTTTTACCCCAACAAGTAACAAATCAGATAAAAAGGTGGATTTATTGTTTATCTAGTTTATTTATAGACTATCTGTTGCTCGCGAATTCGCCCGCGTGAAATAAAAAATAATAAAAAGTATAACCTATGTTACTCACTGATAACGTAGCTTTCTAATGGTGAAAAAACTTTTGAAGTTGGCCCAGTAGTTTTTTAATTTATTTCAATATGTACAAAAATACAAATCTTTTCTCTTTATAGTACTGTAGAAGGAAGGAATGTCTTATAGTATACAGATAACAGTGTTCAGTTTATGCGATAGCTTACTCGGACATACTCTAAACGTTTGTACGTTTGTTACTAGTGAGAACAGGTGGCAACGTAATTAACTCGTAAATGGACAGTTATTAAGCAATTTCTGTAGCCGACCGACGGGAAGCTCGACTATTTAAACGCTGTATGAAGTGATCCTACGAAGAGATGTTTTAGTAATAATTGAAATAAAGTGCATAATTTCTTTGCGAACATGAAAGTTCGATTTAGATGAATTGTAACAGCGAAAGATCAATTGATATTTTTATGCATTATAATTATAGCAGGATTATTTTATTTTAACTAGCTCTAGCCTATGTGTTCTTCGAGACTATGTTCTACATCTATGCAAAATTTCATCGATATTCGTTAGCTGTTTAGGCTACATACTTTGATAAACCAACCAAGTTTCTGCCCCGCACAGCGGCGTTGTGGAACGGTCTGTCCTTGGCGGTATTTCCAAGCCAATACGACTTCAAGAAGCAAGCCTATCATCTCCTCAAATGCCGGCAACGCATCTGGCAGTTCCACAGGTGTTACGGATGTCCATGGGCGTTGTTGACCACCTCGGTGTTCTCATCGCTCGTTTGCCCCCTTTTATTATAAAAAAAAATTATGCAAACTTTCGCATTTGCAATATTAGTAAGGTTAGTGTTCGCACATACTACAGAGAATTGAAGTCAAAACTAAAAATGCGGGTTCTCTGTCAGGTTTATAGAAACCGTTCAGTCTTCCGTATACGCCAGTTATGGTACTATAATCCATAAAAGGTTTCACATTTCGCATGCAAAGTACGTAACGATGACCATTGCTAACTCAAGTATTTATTTTTCCTCTTTGAATATATTTTTTATAATTTTCCTAAAGGTACACTAAGGATAGTCGAATGCATTTTGAATGTTAATTACTTTAATTTGTTAGTGACCACTATTTGAATATTAACCGTGGGAAAATTTGTTAGGTTAATTAAAATTCACAGACTGTTGCAAAATATTCCACGACATTTTTTTTATTCATTGTTTAATATTCCTATTTAATTTAATAATTTAATAAAAGTTTAGTTATTGTTTATACATTTTTTGAGTGTGCAAATAATTTTAATAAAACAAAATAAGTAAATACTTTGTAACTTACTAAATAACGCAAGACCTGGGTCCAATCAGTTTTAACAAATAATTCATTGCCCTGTCTATAGCTCATAAGCTACTTATATCTTGATACAGTTAAATTCGGTATCTCTACCCCGAAAAAGTTTCCTCTTAATTGCGAAGAACGCGAAGGCTTTGCAATGACCCAATTCGAGTGCAATCAGCCGGCGAGTGCGACGTTCTTAATGCATTTTATATTGGTTCAATTGCATCCAGCGACGGCGGCGGCGCGGTATGCGCGCGATGTGTGGGCGATTCGCGGGAAGCCATTAGGGCCAGCGAATTGGCACGCACCGACAACTGACGGATTCTCTGGATATATCAGTAGCACGAAACTAAGAACTCAACTGTTGCAAGGGTTTTAGAGGATTCATTAGGGATATCTAAACAGATGACCAAACTATGTTTATTAAATCAAATACTCAATATTAATGAAAAGTGTGTTAAATTCATGGTAATGATATTTATCATAAGTATCTAGCAATTTTTCTTACTTAAAATGCGAAGGTTTAGATGGATGGATGTTTGTTACAGTTTGTAGTCTATACCGCTGAACGGATCTTGATAAAATATGACATAGATGTAGAACATAGTCTGGAAGAACACGTAGATTATATACTTTTATTTTTTTAAAACCTTGCGGCCGGCTTCGCGGGAGAAAACTAGTGTAGTATAAGTTCTGTTTTAGAAATTCCGGTGGGACAGGAATTATAGGTAGCGCATGCAACTTCCCACGTGTCTGGTAGTAATGACTGTATTAGTGAATAGAATGTATACATTCTAACATTAATTTTAGGGTTACTAATGAGTTAAACAAGAGCAGGGCAGGCGAGGTGCAGGCGCGGGCGCAATGCAATCGTGCGTTTAGGCCCACATGCCGACGCCAAGTTCCATGGAAGGCGATGAATAACTCATTGTCCGTCCGTACGTCCGTCGTGACGCACGCTTCTCGGAAACTAACGATGCGGTGCAGAAAGTGACCGAGATAGTTGACCCGCGAGATACATGCAACTCACCGAATTAAACATTTCGGGGATTTAAGGCTTGTGCCCATTTCTTAATTTATTAATGCAAATTACAGTTATATTTTTAACTTACTTGGAATTCTTATTATCACAACGCTGTGTAACTAGAAGCCTTAGTTCTTTAAAAATAATGTACTCAACCTCTAACAGAAAAGATTATTCTTCTAGGTTACTAAGGCGAGGCTAGTAAAATAAAGAAATCGAAGTGTGTCGTTTTAAAAACAAAAGATTTTCCTTCTTTATTTGTTTGTATTTGCTTTATCCTTTTGCATCAACTAACAATAGCTCAAACATTAAAATGCCATACGCAAACACGCAGAGATGTAAACTGGCGCAGTGTTAATGCGTTAACAGCGTGAAACCGAACGCATTTCGCATTGAAGTCACGGTGTATTTAGCGTAAGTTATATGACTATAACATCGAATATAAAGCAATATGCATCGAGGATGTCAAATTCAAATGGAGTACGGATTCCCACCGGGTCTCGGCGCAAGCGCAATGACGAAGTGCATCGCTCTAATTAGGATGCTAGTGACGTTCCGTTCACGCATGTCGGCATCAGCAACCAAACAACTGAATATTCGCACATGACTATTGTTACTACTTTATGGTCTCGGCTTGCCTTTATACTACTTAGTTAGCATTCCAAATTGGTAACACAAACGTTTTTTATTTCATACCGCTTAATGTCATGTAGCAATAAAGAAGGAGCACGTCTACACAAAAGTTGTGAGTCAAGCTCGTACGATTGTTAACCTCATGAGCGTAATTGTCTACCAATTACTATGACATTTGAATAACTAGGTTAGGTGTAGAATTTGTTAAAACTTTTTTCAGACGGACCAAAGACAATAGTCATAATAAAAGTCAACTGTGATGACGAAAATAGTATAATCTATACTTATTATAATAAAGCGTATACACACACTTCTTTGTTGCTTAAGATGTGAGCAATTACAGCATATTTTTGAATAATTAATTTTTTAATAAAATGCCCTACACTTACTTAACGCTTTAGGTTATATATTTTCACGTCATTAACTTGAGGGGTAAATATTTTGGATAAAAACCCTAATGTGGGAAAGAGACCATAAATTGCTGCCAACATCAAGGAAGCAAGACTGTCAAGGTTTGTCACGTCATGTCATTTTGACATTTGGTATTGATAATTTGACAAATGTAAACAATTAAAACTTTCACAATTTCATGCGGATGAAGCCGCACGGGAACAGCTAATATTTAATACAATTTGTTATTGAACAGTATTTAACACGTTTATTACTAGTATTCTTCGTAGACAAATAGCTACGAAGTCTACGCACTATGATCTATTAGTGAAATCTATTGCTTGTTACTTTACTAATAAATCCACGTTTCTCTTGTTACAGGTAAACAGACCATTGACGATGAAGAAAGAGGGTATCCAAACGCGAAATCGCAAACTGAGCAGTAAGAGTAAAAAGAAGAAGGGAGGAATGGGCATGGGAGGTGGGGGAGCGTGCGCACTTGCGTTGGGGGGCGTTATGGGAGACATGATCAAGCCGCTGGGAGATGCAACCAAAGGTTTCGGCGGATCGGCGTTCCCTTCCGCAATGGACTTTGGTAAGTTGAAATATTTCTAGCTATACAGAAAAAAAAATCTTCAATATTTATTTGTTTCGGGTCAACTACCTCATAATGTCCTGAACATTTAGATAAAAAAAAACTAATGTTAATAAAGTATGTATGTTGGTAGTTCATCAAAAATCGTTATAAATTAATAAAACTATATAAAAAATTGAAACTTCTAAACAACTATGCTGATTTATGGTAACGCCATCTATTATAATTGTTTAACACTATACTTTTGTGATGCAGGTCAGCACCAAGTGGGTCTAGTCCATCCGGCGGCGGCGCATATGTCACATTGGTACGGCGCGCCGCACCAGGGCTTCGCCCCGCCGCCCGCCTCTCACAACCCTTACCACCATCACCACCTTGCGCAGCTTAACTCTATGGTGAGTACTCTTATTATAATTTAGCTTTTATCAAATTAATATTCATTATAATTTTGTTTCCATTAAAATATGCTTTCATTAAAATTTCGCTTTTATTACATTTACTTACGTTTGAATTTAGAATGTATGAACCTGAACTATTATAACGATAGATTTTTATCCTAATAATTGTAATGTGACGATGATATTATGATCTTATCCAACAACAGATTTATCCAATTCTCGTAATCAGAAACTAATTAGAATTAGTAAACTTTGTCTATACTTATATACTTATATACTTATCTGTATCTGTACTATTATATAAAGCGTAAACACACACTTCTTTGTTGCCTAAGATGTCAGCAATTACAGCGTATTTTAGAATAATTATTTTTGTAATAAAAAGCTACACTTGCGTCTCGCTTTAGGCTATATATTTTAACGCCATTAAACTTAGGGGGTAATTAAATTGGATAAAAAACCTTATGTGGGAAAGAGATCATAAGTTGTTGCAAACATCCAGGAAATACGATTGCAATGGTTTGTCATCATGTCATGTCATTTTGACATTAGACAAATGTAAACAAAATTAGGTTTCTATAATTTCATGCGGATGAAGCCGCATGGTAAAAACTAGTATAAGATAATGGAGTCAAGTTCAAGAATTACAAATAAAAAAAAACACGATTGTTATCACTTAAGATATCGTTCAGATAGTTAATCATTTACATTTTTATAACTGAAATTAAAAACAACTTTAAATTTACATAAACATAAACTTTAACTACATTATTGTTTCTTCGATTGTAAAAAGATTCTCAGACATTTAAAAAATATATAGACTAGATATAGTGAACAACAGTTTTTCACCGGTAACTTCTTTGAAAGGTACTATGTTACTTCTCAAGTTTAGTATGCCACCTCATGTCCTCGTATTGACACTTTACAAAACATTTTTTAAAATTATAATAAGCTCCATCTTTTGTTATAAAATAAACAGTTTCACAAAATAAAACATGATTATATGACATATAGTTTTTAGGATATATTAATAGGTAGTGAGTGAGGACCATGAGAAAAACATCTCAAGTGAAATGTCAACTTCCTAAATATATATTTTTTGAATCTCTTTGAACTGTTGCATTATATTGTATGTACATAATTTACCTGTCGTTATTACGGTGAAGGGAAATCTGCACATATCGGCGAAGAAATTCAAAGATATGTGTGAAGTCAATCCGCAGGCCAGCGTGCTTGACTATTGCCTAGTCGCCCTAACTTACAGTAGACTCCGAGCCTCTCATACGACGTATAGTGAGCTAGTGATGATGATTGTTATTTTAATGGATATCATTGTTTTCAGACTGGCTGGAGGAGTGAATACACGTGATAAGTCAGCCTGAGAGCCCGAAACTTTGATATGTAGCTGATGACGTCACAACGGCGAACTATAGAGAGAACGAAGACATCACAAAATAGTTACTGTGATTCACTTAGTAATGATTAATTATCCGAAAGTAGTTCGTAATTTAATCACTGTATGACCTTTGACACATCACATTAATTTTATAAGACTGTTAACTGAATTGATGTTTGTAAAACGCGCACTATTGTTTTTTTATAATACAAATGGTTTAAGCTCCCGTTTAATTTTACAGAATTGATATTAAAACTGTTCGCGTGGTTTAATTATTCCGCGTACGTTTCCGCAAGTATTATTTCAGAATCGTTTTACAAGAGTAACTAGAGAAATTGTACAGTATTATAAAATAATTTAGGGTCGTTTAATGTCCGTTTAGATGATTTATATATATACGATATAAGTAGGTATTGTTAAAACGATGAACAATTTGTGTATTTTGTACATATACATATCTTATTAAGTTATATACCGTTCCTGTATAGATTGTTTTATTTTCTTATTTTTTATTTAATATCGAACTATGCGGATCGCTATGGGAATTGTGATGTGTTCAAAGAATTTTTATTCCACAGTGTTTGTACATTTGATTTGTGTAGTGTTTATTAAATGAAATGCAATAGTAATTTATATAATAGATTATAAATGATGCAATTTGTAAATAATATTATGTATCGAGTCTGCGGATTTTACTTGAAAATGCCGCTAAGTTATAAATATTAAATCAGGTCACTCCATTGGTTATGTTGTTCAGATAAATGTGTAAAGGTGCTCCCACACTAGATGCTTGTGACAACATTTTAGATTCCAATTTAAAGCATAACGAACGTTACAATACAAAATAACATACTGAATCATATTCACGATACTCACTGTAATGTTACATTACAGACCAATCCTCTTGGTGAGGGAACACCTTTATCAGACGCAGTAATATTTTGTTAACCCTGTACCTGTAAATTTAAGATATTGTGTGGCCATAAATTGTAAACGGGGAGTCTGTTTGGGGAGGTGGTAACGAATGCGTACATTTACAAGGTTTTGTAAATGTTTATTACATCCTCAAACATAGTCCCGGAACACCGAAGTGTATATAAAATGTAAATGAAACGTAGAAAGTAAAACATAATGAAACAAAATTGTAAATTCACGCAGAAACACCCTGTAACGATATCCCGTAACTAAAGTTTTTAGTTTATAAAAATGAAACATTGTGAAGTTGTGTATTTTAAATAAAATTGCGAATAAATCATCAATACTTATTGATATTTAAATGAAGGTTTCATTTGTAAAAATCCCCGATATAAATATACATATGTGTTGAAAATTCAAGGTTTAGAAGACATTAGTAAAACAAAAACAAGGTACATCTTACTTACTAATTTTACTAATATTATAAATGCGAAAGTTTAGATGGATGGATGGATGTTTATTAGAGTTTGTAGCCTAAACGGTTAAACAGATCTCGTTGAAATTTGGCATAGACAGGCACAATACATAGGCTACTGACTTTTGTTTTTTTTTAATTCTACGCTGACGGAGTCGCGGGCGAATGCTAGTACTATATAAAGTTTATTATCAGTTCTGGATTGCCGAATAATCAGCTTACATTGATTAAAGGAGGTAAAGCTAATTTATGGACACGCTTCAATTTTTCGATCTATTTCTAGCGAAAATAGTTTTATTTTATATGACACACGTTCTGAAATCAGAACTAAGTAAATTAAGTAGGCATCAAAGGTAATTTTTAGTTTCATAAATTGAATAGAGTTTTGCAGCAAAAAATAGATAGCAAATAAGATTTTAAAGTTATTTAAATAATAATAAAGCTTCGAATCTATAGTTGCCTCTCGTATTAGATATTGATTGAATTGACCATTCATTCGGCATCTCGGTCCGCCATAAGTCAGCGGATCAATTCCGGCATTGCGCAGAAAAAGTCGTCCAAAAGTCGCGCTTATCTCGTGGCAAATTGAAAATGCAGCCGGCCGTGTGATTGTGACGCAAGCGGGGACTCTGCCGGCGACATATGGACCTATTCAATTTTAATCGCATTTCAGAAGAAAGGACATCGGATAAAGTACCTATAAAACGGTCCCCGTACGCCGGCCGATAGAGCCCAGTTAATAAGCTGGTTTTATTTGCGGTTTGAGATTTCAAGGGTGGCTTGTTCATTGTTGGTCGACAATTAAATGTTTGGGATTGATCTTTTTAAATCGCAAGACTGTTACTCTAAGCGTTTACGCTCTACTGGAAATACGTTAGAATTGGCAAGTTTCTTTTCAATTAAAGTTTCAATAGTTTGCGTGGAATGTTTATTTGGTATGGAATTATTGCTAAAGTAACATCCTGTTGGGTACGGATTCGTTTTTGGTCGCGAAAAAATGGTGACGTCGTGTATTTTTAGCGGGAAACCAGAGTCGGATTCGCATAAGTCACTAAAGGGCGAGTGATATACGGGCTGCTAGCGCGGGAAAAAATGTCGCCCAACAAAAAGCTCGGCATCAGTCCGCGGGATTTATGGCGCGCGGTAAGACCGGCGGGCATGCGAGACTACAACACCGAGGGCGAATATTCTTACACCTACTCGAAAGGAATGCGCCTACCCCCCGATGTGATGGAACTTTGCACTTCGCTAAATTACGACCTCGATGTAGTTGTATTTCGCTTAGCCACAGAACATTAATAAGTCTGCTTATTTACACGTCTCGTTCCCTTCCCGACAACTGGACTCCTCTACTACCTCCCATTGTATTCAAATTATTTTTTCGCGTAATATCTGTAAAACTTCTTACAATTTAGCAATAAATATTATGACGGACGGTAAAACTTCCTAGTTTATGATTTGTCGAAATGTTTAATAGGGATTCAGCTAGCTTAAATCTTATGAGTTTGATAAATAAGTACCTGAACCAAAAATAAACTCTGTAGAACAATGATCAACTATACACACTAGCTGTTGCTCGCGACATCGGGCGCGGAAAATAGAAAAAATAGTAAAAAATAGCCTATGTTACTCTGTGATAACATAGCGTTTTAATGGTGCAAGAATTTTTTATCGGTCCTGTAGTTTTTGAGTTATTACAATACAAACAAAATTCCATAATACAAATCTTTCCTCTTTACAATATTAGTATAAAAGGGTCAATTTCATCGAATAAAATCGTCATAGCTCCACAATACAATAAGCTAACAATATACAAATAAACAAAGTGCCGTTGTGTAAATAACAAGCTTAAATCCCGATATAAAAGTGTAAGAAACTAGCATCACAAATCCCATAAGAAGAGTCATAGAGGGTCGTCGGGTCGTGAGTAAAGGATCGAGCACACTCCACCGGTCACTACGTCTGATCCGGGAATCAATCTCGGACTTAGTGTGCTTATCTCGCTGACCCCGGCACTGGCGACTGTCACGCTCTATTGCTTTATGATTTTATAAACCTATTTTTTTTAAATAAAACAATTTCATAATTGCAGATAAAACACGATGTTACGACCAGTATGATTTCTTCTTTGCAAAAAACAGTGCTTTTGAACATAAAATTCTTCACCTATTATTCTTCTCCACCTATGTTGCTCGCGACATCTTCTGCTTGAAATAAAAATATAGCCTATGTTACTCACTTATAACATAGCTTTTAAATGGTGTAAGATTTATTTAAATCGGCCCAGTAGTTTTCAATTACAATACATACAAGAATCCAAAAATAAAAATCTTTCCTCTTTATTATATTAGTATAGATAAAGAAACACATAGATTTATATATTTTTTATACAAGAGGAAGAGAATTTAGAGAAATGAAAAAAAAAAGTATGTATTCATCTATTACCTACTCATATGGCATCTAACATAAACATACTTTATTATGTAACACTAATCATAGTTAACCAATAAAAGGTCTTCCACGAAATCTTATTTACATAACATCGCATACCGGTATTATGTAATTACTTTATATTCATTACATAAACATATTAACAGTTACGCCGGAGATAAGCATAAAAGCCACATGACTGTAAATTCGATCGTTAACAAAGTAATAAAATGGAAACCATCGTCGCAGCCGAAATCAAGGAATTCTGTTCTCGGAACTACTCCTATTAGATAACAGATAAAATATCGTTGATATACTTTGGACTTCTACAAAAAAGGTAAAAAAAAGAAACATCGTTTCGACACGACGTAAATACAGCCCATGAAAACATTGGACACGCAAGTATGCAACGAAATATCAATAAAACTTCTTGTTGAAAGTAGATATAAGTAATTAAATGTTTTCACATGAAAAGGTATAAAAAAGTTTAAAAAAAAAACTGTCACACCTTGTTTGACAAGGTGGAAAGAATAATGTAACCAATACATTACTAGAAAATATTTCAATGTTTAAAAATACTGAAACGATTTTAAATATAAACCAACCCTATGGCTCTTTACTATTTAATGCTTAGTATAGGAGTTCCCTTATAGATTAAGTAAGTAAAATTTACACCGAGTTATTAGCAATGTAATACTACGTAAGTGGTCATCATTTTCAAAAGCTAGTCCTCTACTATTCCTCTATATGTATATAGGTTCGTGGTATACTTTGCAAGAAGACTATCATTTTTTTCAAATTTAAAGCTTTTTACAGTATTTTTATTACATTTCTAGATTTTTATCATAAAATTTTATCATTAATATATCTATGAATTAAAAAAAATACTTTTTGTTTTCTAAACATTACGACAAAGTAGAAAGCTTTGCCAGAGCACCTAAAGCACCGGTTCTAACTACCATCATATAAGTTACAGGAAATATTAGTAGGTTCTAATTACAATTTCAATAAATATTTTTTCCAGTCCACAAAACAAACGTAGTATTGAATATCTGATACCAAACACCTGCCTATTATAATATATACGAAGATCAGCCCTTGATGCATTCAGTTGGACTGACGTAATTATTATTTGGTGCAAACGTATTGAATATTAAGTCTGATATTGGGGCAAAAAAAATCTTTCGAAGTAAAAGTATGCTAATTACGTAACGGACACGAAACAAGGGACTGGCAGGTGACTTGATGTGACAGAATGTTAATAAACGCGATACAAAATTGTTATAATGTGTGTTAACCGTCAAATATTTGAACCAGAATATAATACAATGATTTTTGTAATCTGAATGGGGTAAAAAAGTACAGTCAGCTATATAAATATGTACCATACATTTAGCATGATTATTAACAAATAACCTCATACATATATAAACTGAAAGCCTAGACACGTTAAAATTTTGTTAACGCATACATATTTATATAGTTGATTGTACAGCATTCTGAACATGACTTCTCTTATAGGATTAAGACCGAAAACGTTGTTTGTTTCGAAATAAGAATGTCTAATTCCTAATTAGCTGGAGATCCTATTGGAAATGTCGGTGAATAAATGACAAAACAAGACTTTCAGTCTGAATTGTTAAATGATTACTTATGCAATCCTTTAGTGTACCTACATTTCTCATCATAATGAAATAAATCTTATAACCGTCCTTTGTAACTAATTCACAACTAAGTATAGTCTAGATAATGGTATTTTATTTTATTTTTGGAGCACTTTAAGTTTACTTATATTGTAGTAAACGCAGGAACTTGTTCAACTTTTTTTTCACAATATGGAGTCAATAAAAGTGAGAATACTCAGTTTATAGTATGTCTTTATAGTGCACCTGCCCAAAGCTGCAATTGACGCACCATTTATTGCCCCTGATTGCAAACCCTTGGACGAAACTTATACTACGCACCTTTTAGTCAGCCTTTCATCCATACTGATATTATTTGTATGTACGAAATAACTCAAAAACTGCTGAGCTGATTTTTAATTATTTCACCGTTAGAAAGGTAATTTATCTGTCTTAACATAGGTCATATTTTTATTATTTTTTAAATCACACGCGCACGAAGTCGCGGGCAACAGTTAGTTCATTAATAATATTAGGCATACATTTAACGTGTATTTTTAAAGCACGTAAAAATAAAGAAAAAATATATTTATTTTAAACACAAAGTTCAATAACATTTACAACTAGATAACAGTTAACGCCCAAAAGATTTTCTACAACGGCTAGAAAAAAATACACCTAAAAAAAGCTATGCAATAAAAAACAAGTCTAGAATTACAACAATCATTAAAAAGGAATTGAAACAATAATTATTATACACTGATAGGTGGTTTCCGCCTACTTTTACCATTAGATAGAGCGTATGGTTTGATAAATTCTTAAA